TGAACAGTTGATGGCCACTTCTTACAATAGATGCAATAAAACTGGGAAATCGATGAACAAATGTTATTTCATGAAGAACAGACCGAAAATCACCAATGGGAAACAGATGGAATTTATTATATTTTATGTACAGTCAATCTTGAACATTTTGGCCTCTGTCCTATGAATGGCTAATTTCTCAGTCCGGAGAACTAGCCTGGCTCCGGAAGTTCACTATATGTTATAGCTTACAACCATAGAGAGTGAATCTGGACAGTCACGTTGTTCAAACTTAATTTAGCCTAGGGTGAAGATAACAAGCGTGATATGACTCTCTGATCTTTCATTAGCACCAAAAGAAGCACATGGTAGAATATTTTAGGGAAATCATAAGTTTATTTGAGTCACCGTTTCATGATTTCCGCGGCTTAATGTCTCTTTGCCTTTTCATCATGGATAACCATGGACGATAGCCATCAATCCGGATATATGATCAGATATCTTATCTGTAGGAATATTTGTTGTAAATGTGTTGAAAGACCTGCAAAATTTCTGGTTACTATAATGTTAGTATTCTGTCGTCAGTTCACGGTAGAATTTCACTATTGCCATAATGGCCAGTGAGTACGATCGCCGTACTTTTCCGTGAATATGAGCCTCATTTCCGCTATTGAATGCTCTGCATGACGTTGAAATAAGGGGGAATATACAGCAGTCTATTACAAAAATACAACGTTTACTAAGCACTGCTGATCACCGTCAATCGATCTGCATAACAATCAACTAAGTTGCCCAGGCAGTAAGGCTTACAACTCAAAACGGCTTAATGTGTTCGGTGAAAATTTTTTTCTCTAGCCTCAGGGCACGCTGAAATGTTCAGCTACACCAGCCGCAGAGATTGTCCTTCTTTAATAAAAAACATCATAGGCATAAAATGTTTTGTAAATTGTTCACAAATTCATGATTGATGGCTTTTGTGCCTTACACCATGAACCAACGAACAATCTACAGTTTCAACAACGGTGCCAGAATCTGAAATATTATGTAATATTTATAAAAGTTTTTATTAAGTCATGCAGGCAACGGAATAAATAACAAATAATTCGAGAACTACTCATTTCTACTAAAGTTTTGATTAAAATCAGAGAACTAGGTTCAAATCGACACAGCACATTCTGGATTATGGTGGGTTCCCCTTATATCTCGAAATGCTAAACATGCTAATTAAATATTCATGAAAAAGTTAGAGAGATTTTAGAACATGATCTGCATGATGTATGAATCTGTGAAAATACAAATACCGGGTGTTTGGGACAGAAGCGACAAATAAACACCACGGATCATAATTCCTTTTTCGAAAGGTCACTTTGCAGTCCTAAGGCAATGGCGATGAACCATCGATAGTGAAAAAAGATTCGAGGGCCGTAACTGAGAGGAGTGTTGACCGAAAGCCATCAGCTTGGTTACCAATTAGCCCGATCAGACGTGGCCAATTTCACACAGGCATCGTAGGCCCAGTTAGCACTTTGCGGGAGGCGCGTAGCTGCCGGCGGTCGCTTATGCAACGTTTACGCCGGGAATCGCCCCACAGCCCGGTCATAATGAGCGTTTGGTCGTCGCCTAATTTCAAGAGCACAAACGAAATCCAGGTGTTCTCATGTCCCTCCCACTATCGCCTCGAGGAACAATAAGCAAGCGAGGCCGTTTAACGCCTCTGACAGAAACAACGTGTTCTCGATATTAATTGTTCT